ACATGTTCTGTTAAATCAGGTGTATTTTGTCTACTTAGTAGTTTATTGTGTATATTTTTAATGCAAGGCTCTACCCAAGCTGTTAGCCATTTATTTAGAGCATCAATTCCCTTAGGTCGATCATTTATATATGTTGTATCACAGATGAAACTAAAGGAGTCACTTAGTGTTGCTTCTCTAGTAATATATGAGCAGGCACATGTGAAAGATTAAAGTAGATCTGATAAGATGCCCTCAAGTTCAGTAATAACCTCACAGTTTAAGGAATAAACTCAAGAACATTCACAAAGCCACTTGACAACCCTGTCCTCTGAAAGTTAAGCTCAATAAAAATTTATATTAAGAATCCCAAGAAAAACCAATTGCCCTTCTATCTCAATGTTTCTTTTCTAAAACTTTTTGAATATATTCACTGTGAGGTATTGGTACTTATAGTATCTTGATCCTTTTTACTTCTCTTCCTCTCTTCTGCCTCATGAAGTAGTGAACGTGATTAGCATGGAATTTATTGTTTGTCCCTGACCTGCTTCCTGAATATCTCAGATTCATGACCATTTTATTACCTCTGATGGACTCTGAGCTTCTGAAATAAGGACCTGGTATTGTCTATGTACACATTTTTACAGTGTCTGTAATGTTACAGGGCACATCAAAACAGTCAATAAATTTGAGCTAAATGAGTAGTTAATGATAATAGATTTTGTTGAATCACAGGTATAATGTTGCAGATCTTCTTTAAACTTACTTTATCCAAGCTGTAAGATTACCTCCATGAGAATTATAATGTCATAGCTGGGGAACAAATAGCCATACAGTCATGGATAGAGAAAAGAATCATGAACCCCTTTTTTATTCTAGGTACACAAAATAGAGAAGTTGAGAAGGGCAATTGTGTGCGAAGTACCTATTCCATTCATTAGCTACCTCTTCTAAAATCGTGAGCAAATTTCTGTCTACATAACAGAGTTGTTAAGATTAAATTAGTTCATGTAAAACTATCTAGTGTATGCCACATGTAAATGCACTTTAGCTGATATCTCATAATTTTAACCCTTTCTATCAGTCCTTTCTGATTTACAAAGACTAAAGGACATTGGGAATTTGTTTATTTGGGTCTGGAGAACAAAACCTGAACATAAAGTATACAGGGAATGGTAAGGCTCACTGTTTGAAATGAGCCACATGTATACGCTAAGCATGAATGTAAAATAAATTAAATAACAACATATTTAAGTAGAATAATTGAAAAAGGATTACTGTCATAAGTTCCTATCAAGATTCTTGTTAGTAGTTTGAATTTGAGCTTGGATAGCTACTTCAAGCAAGTTACTCATGGAATAACATTAATGGCTCTTTATTCAATTCAGTCCATAGAATTCTGTTCCAGTCACCGTCTGATGACAAATAAATAGTCCTTAATAGTTGGAACACAAGGATTGTGACACCTGGGAACTCAAATGCTGAGTTTCTGTTGGAACTAGAGTATACAATTATAATTATATATGTCGATCCATCAAAAATTGACCAAACTGATCATGTTTCTATTCTTATCAGGTCAGAATTTTACTCTTAACATTTCATTGTGATTGATGAAAGACAGGAAAGCAAGTTTAGTGCCCTTTAAGCCTCTCACATAGCCATGTGGCAATGAAACTAAAATTTGGAGGAAGCAGCCCAACATTAAAAAACACACAGAGAAGTGGAAAACTATGCTGGAAAAATAGAATAAAGATGTAGGACAAACTGTCTATGACAGTATAAACTATTGTTTCTGAGTGTATTAGATTAAACCACACCAAATTGTCACAATCACAGCTTTTTTAATTTATTGAAATGGTGATTCATGTTTTTCAGACCAACAGGAATTAGGCTTTGTTAAAAGATTATTACTCTTTTGAAAAAAAGACTTAGTTGATATTTTACACAGTTTATGTATTTGTAATATTGAAATATCATCCTTCTATTGGAGGAATAAGGAAGCAAGATCTATGAAAGAAAAAGGAAATAGAAAGCAAATATGGAAGGAAAGATCACCATTTCCTCCTTTTTACCAAAGGGAAAATTTAGAAAGACTCAGGAAATCACCAAGGAGATGTTGCACAGGAAACACTGATCAAAAAAGAAGTTACGATTTGCAAGGGAAGAGGTTTCAAGGTTGTAATGCCAGTGGAAAAATAAATCTTTAAAAAGTGATTTGGAAAAAGCTGTGCAGGTTAGCCAGACCTTGACAAGAGACAGAGCAAAGACAAGAGAAAAGAACTATGAAACAGTTTTACTTATTCTAACAGTTAGGGAACCCAAGAAATTAGTGGGAATCTGACAGGTGAGTTAAATATCTTGCTCAGAACTCTACTGTACATTATCCACTCTTATCTGGACTTTTAGGAAATATAATTATAATCAGAAAAAATATATATCAAAAAATCAACAGAAATTGAGTCAGGACAGTAGATTGCAAAGTTAATTTTAATCTTGAAAGTCCTTTGCTGAGTTTGGAAGGAAATTGTACTGTAGGTTAAGTCTCATGGAAAGAAAGACTCTCAGCTACATATAAAAGGTTCATTTGAGTTTATGCATACATAAAGGGTTCTTTGATCACCCTGAAAATACTCCTGACTTAGTCAATACCAGTGTTAAGTAGTAAACCATTTCATTGTATTCCTCCATATTCTCTCTGGTCTAATCCACCACTGAGGATTGAAAATCGATGCCACAAATCACTCTGGACCTAGTAGAGGGAGGCACCAACACTCCCTTTCTTAGCATTCTATGGAGGGAAGTAGTAATGAGGACTTTGTAAAATCAGTATCTTTCAGCAAATATATCATACAGTTTTATATTCATATATCTTACAGTTTTATACTCATAGCTGAATTCTTAGGGTGGGGGAATCTAGAGAAATACTGAGGGCAGAAGACTCTTCTTATAATCCAAATCCAAATACAGTTAGGACCATGAAGGAGGTGGTACAAATCCAAAATCCAAATGCATTTCAAAGTAAGTAAAAAGAGTAAGTAACAGAATTGAGCCAGTGGATAACTTTTAGGAAACAAGAGAAAGCTGGATATTTGTAAAGAAAATACATATGATAAGGAGTATAAAAAAGTATTCACATTTAAAACTTAAAAGGACAGAGTTACACTTAAGGAAAGAAATGCTGTAAATTAGTGACTGCAGGCAGAATTTTAGGAGTCCTTCTGTGAAGAGAAAACAGGGCAATAGATTCACTGTTTTCTTCTTTGTCAACCTCTCTTTCTTGAGCTTCTAGGTTGAGGATTCAACCAACAGTGCCAATCATGCTTTCTAGAGGTAAGAGCAGCATTAAGGACCACCCATCTGTCCTCACAGAGAGAATTATAGATGGCGTTGAGCTGAAGGATAAGGAAGTGGAATCTGACTTCTACATGCACTCAAAATTGCCCTGAGCTAGGTGTGAAAACCTGGGCACCGTTCTGAACCAGTCACAGTTTTGAAAGAAATTTAGGGAAGTACAGTATCATAGAAACCAGGAGAAAAGAAAAAGCCATGATGAATGAAGGTCGACAGCAACATCATTACATTCTGCAAGGCCCTGAGTATGAGGAGAGAACAAGTCCTAGAGGTTAACACCTCGGGAATGATTTTGTTGTTTAGGGAAATGATAAAGTGAATGACAGTGAGGAATTAAAGTGGATTTTTATGGGTCATACAATTAAAGAATTATTAAATCTCCTCTCAGCCTCTGCTTTCTGAAATAATTTATCACTGCATTTTATTAAAGTCAGATCATTAGTTTCAGTAACACAAACCTTGGGAGAAAAATGTACTCTAAATTTTTGGGTTTTAATTAAATAAGTTTTTTAATCTGTTCCTTTAAAATAATTGATTAGATCTCATGTGAATGTAATGTTGAGATTTTTTTTCTAAAATTAACTTAAATTCACATTAAATTAACTACCTCAAATTCTATTGCAGAACTTTCTTAGATTCAACATTCCACAGACACAGATATGTGTTCTTGTAGTCTACAATTAGTGCATTTGTGTAACAGATGAGCTCTAGCATCATACTTATTTACCAAAGTTTAAAAAAAAAAATGCCCAGGTTTACCCTACTACCTGCCTGACTTACAAATACATCTAGCTAACCAAAAGCCATTCTGGAAAAGAAAGCTTCAGTTTCTACAATGGCATGTTCAGATACCCTCATTAAATTAAGAAATGGGAGTCCCTAATGAGCTCCTACCCTTTACCATCATGGGCATTCCGACTCATTATGCCCTATGGAAGTCAGAACCTGGGCCTCCCCTGCCAGAGTACAGCAGTAAAGGCCTCCTGAGGGACAAGCAAGCAGGACCCCAGGTAGAAGATGGCAGAGCACTTCAAAAACAAGAGAAATGTTATGTTGACTGGAGGGTTAGTGGAGGATATTTATAAGATTAAGTTAAAGTAGCAGAATATTTTTATTGAAACCTTAAAAAACACAGAGGTCTGTGGATAGGAGAAAAACACAAAGAATCAAAACTTATTAAAGAGTTTACTGTTATTATTCAAGCAACACTTGGGACAACTTTTAGTGTCCCAAACAAAGGTTAAATAAGCTAATCAGGCATAAAGTGCCCCGATATTTTTAACTATACAGACCAGTTAAATCTATAAAAGAAACTAGAAGAATTCTTATAAAGTACTATGTTTTAAAAACTTCACAACCAAAGACAATCTGTAATCATCATTACATTAAATTTGAAGAGTTTTTCCCAGGATATGTTAGTAATTTCATTGTAAACCTAAAAACAATCCCTTTAGGTTTGTCTTGTTTTAACATTCATTTCAAAGACATTATTTATTGATAATACTGAGAAGGGGTTTTCACTATTCAGTAATATTTGGCAAACTGTTATATACTCTTTTTTATCAGAAAGGATAAAATAAGAGTTCATCACTCAGGAGCTGTCCTGATAATGATAATGATTATTGTGATACACTAAAAATTGGAAGAATCTAGAGGAATAAAGACTTGGCATGGCCTTCATGGCCCACAATCGGAAGAACAGCAAAGGACCTTTTCCACTGGAAACTCTTCCAATGCCAAAGGTGGCCTGTGGTGATTATTTGCACCTACTGGAAGAGAAATAAAAACTGCAGCTAAACAAATTCCTCCTTCATAGGACGTTTCTAGTGGCCAACATATGGCCAAAAATGGAGAAAAAAAAATTGTTGAATACTATGATCAAGCATTTCAGTCAATTCTGAAACATCACCCAGGAGAAACAGTGACAGGGTTACTGCTCATCTACCCCACTTCCATGCTACACATCATCGAGTCCTCCAATGGTACTCTTCAGCAAATTCTTTCAGATTATCTTAGCCATGAAAGGAAGGAAACAGAATTTTGGGTTCAAAAAATGAAAATTATAGTCATTTCTCACAACATCCCAACAAGACTCTTTATGCAGTGGCATGTTTCAGTAGTCAGAGTGCCAACTATGTGCCTCAAGGATGTGACACAGTCACAGTCCCTGCAGGAGATTGTCACAGATTTTCTTACCCGGATGCATAAACTGGCTATGCACCTTTTTAAGACTCTTAAAGTGGGAACAAAAGGACTAGATGATAACTTGCACCATGCTGCACCTCACCTGCTCCCTTCAGAACAAATCTTAAAGTATTTATGTAATTCTGAAGAACTCATGGGCCCAGCAACTTTCATAAGCATGTATAATAAATCCATAGATATAGTCTTGGATTCCGAGGTGGTATGGCCTGCTCTTTCCAGGCTCTAGCATTGAAAGAGATACTGTGGTCAGATCTCTTAAGGAATTTGTGCTACCTAAATAAAAGGAAACTATTTCTAACATTACTTTTTTTTTAATAAAAGGACACTACAATTTATCTAAAGGTATATGTTCATCTTTACAAAATATGTATTTATTTACTCTGATGTTGAGCTCAATGCATAATTTTAGGGCAGATGAGTCTAATAAAATCATAGTTTCATCATTTTTCAAAGAACAACTTAATTTTTAAAGATGAGTATAGATGTAAAAGGACAAACACAATTTAGATTTTCATTTATTCTTTCAACAGTTTATAAGCAGTCTCCACCATAAAGCAGATATATAGTATTCTGGGTATGAAACTTTACTTTCAGGGATAAAATCCACCATTTGAGTTGTTTACAACCTAGGAGGCAAGCATGTATAAAAGTACGCCATGAAATGTGATGTCATATAATGTACTCTAATGACTTAGTATAGGAGGAGTAAGTAAAAAGGTTTCTGAAAACAAAGAGGGAATGCTGTACAATGCTAACATTCAGAAAACAAAGCCGAACCATTGAAAATAGTTCCAAAGCTCATATAGTCTAGCCTATATAATCAACAATATCGGGACCGATTTAAAATTAAAGAGCACATTATATTTTTGCAATGACTAGAAAATACAGTGCATTATCGAATGGAATCATATTCCTTTATGTAACATTATTCATTGAGCACTCTCCTACAGGCTGGACATTTGCCAGGCAGTATGGATATGGGTTGGTATTCAGGAGACATTATTTCCTGCCTACTTGAAAAGCTTATTTCTAAATGATTCCATGTAAGATACACAAATTAGTTACTTTCTCACTTCACTTCCTATGATTTTTACAGAAAATGAATAGTAAATATTTACTGGATCAGAAAGAATCTCTTTAGCAGTTTCATTTGGAAACTGTTTTCTAAAGTTATCTAGTGAATAAAAGTGAATTTTTGAATGAAAAAAAATCTATATTTATATGTTGGAAATCATGGCACTTTGTTTTTTTGCAAAACTGACCTCTCCAATATATTCAATCCCACATGCTCTTCTTGCAATATGCCCTTCACATTAGTTACTGCTATTTCCTTTCATATGGTGGCTTCTAAATTCCTCCCCTTAAAATCTGCCTCAATCAGCAGAGCACAGCAGGAATGATTCCACATGACCTCCAAGGATGAGTGATAAAACTGCCATGAATTTGGCTCTGCTTCCCCTAACAATCTAAGCAGTTTCCAGGTGACATTCCAGCTCCCACCCCCACTATCACACAGTTCAGGTGGTTCTGGGCTCTGGACTTCCAGCTCACCCTGGATTTCAAGTCAGCCCAGCTGATACTGCATAGGGTACAAATGAGCTCTTCCCACTGAACCCTGCTGAAATTACTGATCTCTGAACAACGTAAGTGACTTCTTGATTTAAGTCATTACATTTTGGGTGGGTGATGAAGCAGTAGTCTACAATAATACTATACGTCTATGTAAACTATTTTCATTACTTATTATTCATTACACTCATTTATGTACCTAATACTCACTGGGCAGCTATTAATAATTATTTACTAGTGGACCTATCACTGTGCTGGTCACTTCATACACAAGCAGCAGTAACATGTGTTTCTACTATACTGCCTAGCATAGATCTATCTGCTATTGGTCTGTAATAATTTCTGGTATTAGAAAGACTAAGAATATGAATTTGTAAAGTCAAAGAAAATCATTAACAATCAGAATCCTTTTTGGAGGAAGTTATGGAAAAATCTATATGATTACTGATTTAATTAGCATGCTATAATTTTTAATGTAAAGAATTCATGAACTATGAAAATAACTAGAACATAAAAAGTGACTATAAATAAATTAAGCAACTTATTTTGTCATGTACTCATTTTAGCAAACACACAAGAATAAATTTATTCAAATGAAAGTCACTTTAGGAGGATTATATTTATCCCAGAGTGATAACACCATTGAGAGAATCATTTTGTGACTTGTTTATAGTAGCTGCATGAAGAGTTTTTAACCCAAAAGATCTTAAATATTTTACATCTAATTTTTGATCACCAAATAGTATATACTCCAACTTAGTAACATTAATATTCAATATTCATTTGTAGGAATATTTTTTTAAATATTATACTCACTCTCAAAGGAACCACCAACACTGAACATGTTAAAGAGTATGACACTGCCCCTAAGGAGAAGCACAAATTGTTTTGAGCAGCAGATGTATTATTGAGATACTGGTGTAGCTTACTGAAACATGTTCAAAGGACACTCATTCACCTATGCATGTTTTGGATATATTTGATATCATTCAGAATCTTATATTCATTCAAGCCTTATAAGCATAATTTAGTTTGATGAAGTCCAAAGATGTGAATCATTAAAATTTAGAAAGAATCATCAGGTAATTTACAACACAATGAAAGTTAGTTTCCTTACAATAAAACTTCAAATAAAGCCAGAGAACAGAAATTAATGTAAAGAAAGAAACAAATATTTAACACTGTGAACACACATTCAATATCCATATGATAATGAACATGTAACATATATAAATTCATGCACATAGAACATCCAAACAGTGCAGGGAGCCCCACACTGGCCTTTTGGTTTGTCTGTGTATACTGGGCAATGGACTTCCCTTGTGATAATCTATGCTCTTTTCTGAGTTGAGCAAAGACTTTCAGGAAGGTTACAGATTTCTTGAATAGCTGAAATAATATTTGAAAGGAAAAACTCTCTCAGGCTGAATTCTAAAATTCTACTAACTTCATTGTAATATAAGAAAAAGGTGGATTTTTTTTCATGCAGCATTACTGTTAAACCCAAATAGATTTTGACAAAACTACATTTCAATTAATTTAAACCTACCTCTAGCAGTACAATACACTTAGTCTCCCCCAAGGGGGTAGAAATGAGATAGCCTATCACTTCATATAGCAAAATACTTTCAGATTATTTCATACTGTATTGAATGATTTAATGTAGAATTAGAGTTCTCCACCTGGTGGCCAATTATTTAAACTTCCAGATTACCTATTGACAGGATTGATACATACATGCATAGATATTAAGAAAATATGGATAGAATCCCCCAAAATACCTTTCATATAACTGCTTTACTCCCCTTGTTCTGCAGATGAAAAATCTGAGATCCAAAGACATTAAGGTGTTTTGCCAAAAGCATGTGTTGGTAACAGAAGACTCATTTTACTTCATTATATTCATTACATCAATCTTGATTCCTCTATAAGCAAGATATTTTTAAAAAATTATTCCTGTGAACTCACTTTTTCTCATTGCTTTAGAATTTTTTTATTCTATTATGAGCGCTCTTTTTTTTCTAGGAAAAAAATGAGTGCTCTTTTATGAGTGCTTTTTTTTTCCAAGAAAAAATTTGTATTAGCTGACCCAACGTTGACTTTTTGTATAAAAAAGGAATCTTTATCTCCCTTCTCTGGATTTTGTGATATTTTGAAAGACTTAGTTAAATACTTACTACTTGAATTTTGTTTTACTGTTAACTCCTAACACTGGGTGAATCCTAGATTCATTAGGAACATTCTTCTGGTATCTTCCTATATACACATAAACTTGAAAAAAGATTTTCCTTATATTTTAGAACAAATATATTTGATTTGATAAGTAGTAATAAAGTTAAAACAAAAGAAGGACCCATTTTTAACTAATGTGAATGTGTAAAGAACTGATTCACCTGTAATTTTCAATCCAAAAAATCACCTTCTATCCCCAAAGAAGATAAGAAAGAGAACAACAGTGTTGTCAAGGGGCACTTCCTTATTCCCTCCACAATAGTTACAGGTCCTCTAATCTAGACAGTGCCATGACCTCAATTCCCACCTAAGAGCTAATGACTTCAAGCAAACGTTTGTTTATGTCTTCACTTATTCATTTAACAAACATTTATGTACTTCACAACTCTTGTTTTCACCACTGTTTAAACCTTGAACGCCTTGGTAAAAAGACAAAGCCCATGTTTTCAAAGACCACATTTTCTAGAAGAGGAAACTTAAATAAACAAAGAGATGTGATAATTTCAGACAGTTTTATGTGCTGTGGGGTTAAAACAAGTCAAACAACTGACAGTGACTGACAAGTCCAGTGTACACACAGTGGTCAAGCAGGCTTCTCAATGGAAATAAGTTACCTCCAAACTAAGACCTGACTGAAAGCAAGGAAGCACCATCCACGTCAAGACTTGGTAGTAAAAGTCAGAACATTCTAGAAGACACAGCAGGAGTAAGCTTGGTATTTTTAAAAGAAAGAAGATCAGAGGGTCTGGAGTGCTGGAGCGAAGGAGGCAAAATAGAGAGTGGCAAGGAACGACACAGGCCGGTGTGGTCAAGGCTAGGGGTGGGGATTTAACTGTTTTGGTCAGTACTACAGTAGACCCTCTTGTGCTTTAGTTTTTGTGTAGGACTCCCTCAAGAAGGTCCAGTGGTTACTCCCTTGCTTTCAGTCACTGCCGATCAAGCCAAGCCCCATTTATTCCACAGTGTTTCCAATGTCGGGCCTTGTTCCCATGCCCTTCTTGGGGATCTCCCTCACTCTGGAGTCTTCCTTTCCTCACTCTTTTCCCAGTCCAGATTATACTTCTATGAAAGAAAAAGGCAGCCTCGCAGAAGATTTAAGAGGGCAGCCTCTGGCATCAAACTGAAAAACTGAAACCAGTTTCTGAACTTGGTAAAACTTTAGTTTGTTTCCCTACCTTCCCACATCTCAACTTCCTCACCTAAAAAACATGAGTGTGACAGCAGGGTCTACATTTCAAGACTGGATATACACACTACATGAAATCATGCTGTAAAAATGCTGTCATGCAGAATGGTCTCAAGAAATGTTTTTACTCTGATCAAAATTCTTCACTGGCTTCCATTTTACCCCTGAATAAAAAGCAAACTTTTAGGATGATATGCAAAGCCTCAGTCCTCTGATCCTTGTTTACTTAGCTACTCGCC